GAATAGTTGAGAATCATACTAGAGGAGAATGCTTGATGTTTGATTAAAAAGTTACATGTGTTATATTGATTATATTAATTAATGATGTATGGTTGCCAACACAAATTTACATTAGTATAATTAAATGCTTGTTACCACTTAGCTGGCCCTTCATAGTGTTTCTGGGTGTTTCTAGCCGTCATATCTAGATTCCCTGTCTCTGCTCTCCTTCAGCGTCTAGTCCGTCCATCTGCTCTCTCCGGCTGTCTTCCTCTTCCTCCCTCGACTCCCCCGCTTGAAGTCTCCTTAGCTGAGTCCCAAAGAGAAGTCTCCTCCTCTGAGTCCCAAAGGGAAGTGCTCAGTCCATCTCTTGCTCTCTCCGGCTGTCTTCGTCTTCCTCCCCCGACTCCCCCGCTTGAAGTCTCCTCCGCTGAGTCCCCAAGAGAAGTGTCCAGTCCCAATTCTCTATTTCCCACCTTTCTTCATCCCCCTCTCTTTTGGTAGTCTTTTTCCTGATTGGCTGAATATTCCTAGCCTAAGGGATGACCACGCCCTCTCTCCCAGGCCAAGGTAAAGCAGCAGGTACAGATTTCCATATTTCTGGTGGAAGGTGTGTAAAGGTCTTTCGGGATCCTGTTTAAACACTCAGTTGTCGGTCTTGCTCGGTGATTCTTAAAGGTTTTTATTACCACTTCCAAAAGGTTGGGCTTGTGGGTCGTTACCCTCGTTCAGGTAGCGCCAGATGTTGGCACTTATGATATTTATTTATTTATACCTTTCAACTAATTATTCCACCGGCGGTCTTTACAATACATAGCAGTATTAACTTTACCGAACCTCCAATCAACTGCTTCTCAAATAATAATCATAATTATAAATAGTACTCTCGAAAGATCTCCACTGGCTTTAGTTCCAGTGGCGCTGTTGAAAGAATAGCGTAGGGCTCTCCTGGAGTCATGCTTTTCCCTCAATAGTTGGTGGTACAAGCCTGCCTCGGAGTTCCCTCGTCTATTTTTAAATACTATACATAGGTTTGTATGTGTTTTTTTTTTTTTTAATTTACTTATCTATTTTATTTTATTTATTATTTATACTTGTGAATGTCATCTTACCTACCTACAAACATTGTCTAAGTGGCAGAATGGTATATAATACAATAATTAAATTGCCAACAATCAAATTCCTCAAACGGACACGGTAGTTTACCTTGGACTCACCTTCGACATAAGGATGACATGGGGGCTGCATGTTAAAATGAAACGTAAGACACTTAACAAACTGCTCAAACTACTTTACTCTTTTTTTTCTAAATCTTCAAAACTAAAACTAAACCAGAAACTGAATACATATACATACTTACTTCAAGCCATATGGAAGTACTCATTACAAATATATGGCAACGCTAAAAAGACCCACCTACAAAAACTTCAAACCTTCCAATCAAAATTATTGCGTCACATAACAAAATCATCTTGTTATGTGACTAACAAAACTCTACATACTGACATCCAACATTTGGCCAACATATAACGACCCTTCATCAACGATTTTTCACTACTTTAAACGGACATAATAACATACAAGAGAAATGGCCACAGCTGACATACCTCAGAACATGAGGAGGAGTCTTACTGAGAAGAATAGGTACTGCTGAGTACATTATTTCCCCATACCTGTCATATCATTTTTTCCTGTATCACCATCACATTTTCTGACTGTCAGCAATAAGTTGAGAGGCGCAAATACATTTTTTATAGACAAAAAAAATAAAATAAACAGGAAAGAATATAATAAAATATGATATTAGGCTATTGCATAAATTACCACACTGTCTCGCCAGTACTAATGTACTCCAAAATATCTTAAATTTCATTTCGTCAGGAGTACTGTAAATATTAATATTTCATCCTATACGGTAAATTATGTTTGCACATAACATACCCATCCTCGAGACAGTAACCGTAACTTTTGCTGATAATATTGCAGTTTTATCAATACACTACAAACTTCTACTAGCTTTATTGATTTTATAAAATCAATCACTAAAAAATATGTAAATCGTACTGCATTGTATCTACAGTGATGTTAATTAAAAATGAATTTAAATTAATTAATTAATAGTAAACAATTAATTACAGGATAATAATGCTTTTAGAAATATTTCACATGATGTTTGAAGTTTGAATTTTAATATATATATATATATATATATATATATATATATATATATATATATATAAATATGTTTTTTTTTTAAATGGGGCTTGAATTTAGTACGTGGTTATGAGTAATAATCTTTTTTAAATAAGTAAATATTATGGTTAGTTAAGTATTTACGTTATACAACATACAGAAACAAGGATAGCTTAATGAAGACAAAATTATTTTTTTATCTTATCTAACTTTCAGCCTAAAAGCTCCCACTCCGAGTAGTTTGAGGATGTTTTAAAAGAAAGATATATGACAGTACTTAATTCAAATCACACCTGATACACAAGGTGATCTATTAGTTTACTAATTCTTATATTACCATTGTTGTAGGGTGTTTTTCAATTCTAAGAAAGAAAAAAGCAATACTGGGTTAGTATTACTTATTTTTATAAAATAATATTTTGTTTTTGTTTTGAATACTTTACCAATATTTGTGTATCACTTAACGACAAGAAATCACTTCACCTCAATATAAACCAAATCCAATTACATCGGAATCAGCCGATTCACTGAACACCGTCCCCACCATTATTCAATTTCCTTATTTTCATAAAATCTACTGGATTAATCTTTTCACTCGATCCATTCCTCTTTCTCTCTCCGTTTTTTTTTTTTTTACCATTCTCTCTTTCTATTTTTTTTTTCGTAAAACCAGCTTTCTCTGCTCTTTCGGTTTTTTTTTATTATATTTTTATTTTTATAAAATCCGAATGTAATTTCCCAGAGTTTTTTTTTTTTAGATGAATCCTCTTGCCTCAACAAAAAAAAATTGATTATATCTCGGTTTATCCAGATTTCCATCGTTGAAAGTGCAACTCCCATTTACCAAAGATGTGCCGGAAATTCCTACATATTTTATATTTGGTTTGAAAATTAAAAAAAAATATCATATATGTAACTATTTATTTTATTTGTGAAACAGAAAATTAAAATCATTATGAAAGGACATCATGGTAATATTACAATCAAGAGGAGCATTAGAACTTTGTTTGAGTCTTAATTTATATAAGAAGGTTTATATTATTTGTGGAACACTAAGACCTTTTTTTTCATCTCCTAATTTATATATATATATATATATATATATATATATATATATATATATATATATATATATATATATATATATATATATTAAGCCAAACTTCAACAAATAATTTGATTTGACATATGGTAACGATTTCGAACGGAAAAGGAGTCCAATTTTGTCATTTCTTAAGGTGGTCCCTTCCATAGGAAGTGATAACGAAAAAATTATTTAATTAAGTCAATTAAAAATGGTTTCAATATTTAACTAGAAAAAAATACCTTTAAATACAAGTACAGTTTTTCTTTGTCAACATTAAAATTGAACTTTTTATTTAACATTAAAGTTCAGTTTTTCATTTAATCGTGGATTATTCATATTATTTTTTTCATCATCTTACAACTAATCTACAAATATTGTAATCTTAAAAAACTTCCTTGTTTAAAAAAAATTAACTGCATATTAATTTATTTGAGATTTGTTTTATAATATAATTAAGATTCAGCTCTATTTTTGTGAAAAAGTATGTGATTTGATATACTGTCATCCAAGGGTAACTTTATTTTCAGTAAATATAACGACCTAAAAATGATTATAACTTATAAATTTATTTATAAGTATACATAATTATAAATTTATCAGTATATTTATAAGTATAAACTATTTATTTATTAATTAATTAATTTTTCTTGTCACTTGACATCTATATTAGTAAATTAATTATGAAAATACACATTTTATTCATTAAAAATACCGCATTTTCAAAAATTATTATCTAAGGTGACGATGAACCATTGTCATATCTGATAACTCAGATATTTATTGTGGAAATGTCTTTAATCTTAATACTAAAGTTTACGTATGAAAATACATATAAAAACGAGTTTTATTTTTAATATTTTATATTTAAAAACTTTAATTTACAATAATGGATTATTATTTTCGAAAGGTATTGATTCTTTTTATCTTGAATTAAAATACTGTGACCATAATAAGATTGTCGCTATTTCTGAAATAAAATATTCCATTTCTCGTTAATGTTACTTCTTCAGGAAAAAAAAAAAACATATGTTCTTATCCGATTTTCATTTGTTTAATTTTTTTTTTGTCTTTAAATCTTCATCCGCACTTGTCATGGTAGTGACAATTAGCAGATTTGCTGTTAAGTTGAAAATGATATGATAGGCATGAGTTTAAATTAAATTAGTTTAATTTAAATTACAAATATACAAAATTTCACAAATATAGAATAGAATAGAAAATAATTTTATTCTGGGACAAAGTCCTTTAAGAATAACAAAAAAAAAAAAATACAAAATTAAAATATTATATCTGGTCTAAATAAAAGCAAACACAAAAAGTGAAAGCAAAGATAAATATGTAAAGAAAACCTTAGTTAAGCATACTATATACAAAATTAAAAAAAAAAATCTATATACAAAACACTTGAAACTATGCCGAGGCATTTAAAACTATCTACAGAGGTAAAATATAAATATAAAATTTTAGAAAAAAAAATAGAGAAAAAATACATTACTTTCGTCCTAGAAATAAAATCTGTGTTTCTGTACAAAAAAAAAAAAAAAAAAAAGAAAGCCGAATCTGATAGTAAAAATTGTCAGAGTATTGAAGTGATGAATTATATGTAGATACATCCTTATGTAACTGTTTGGTTGGCCCAGAAATACCCCAAACTACATAGTCCGCCTCGAAACAGGAACAGATCTATTAAGAATGAAAGTAATTAAAAAAGATGATAAATCTATGGACCAAGCTCGAGTTCATGCCAGAAGAGCGACTCCCAAAACTCTGTTTTAATAGACTTAAAACATTAGATAAGGATAAGCCTGACATAGACTTCAATTGGGTGTCTCACTTTAGAGCAATAGCCGAACTTAATGCCTTTGCAGAAGAGCTTTCTGTTCACCACACAAACGGACTTCTTCGATACAAAGACTACATCCTTGAAAAAGCACACAACGATTATTTCTCGCCGACATTCAAAGAACTTTAAACTGAACTAACTATCCTTTATACAGAATGCTATGCAGTTACAATTCTCCCGATCCTGAAACGTATCTTACATTCAAAGTCAACATAAAGAAATTGAGATGTGTTAGTCAATTAAGAGTTGCAAACCCTGAACACATCAGAATCCATGCAAAAAACAGAACATTTTCGATTGAGTCTCAAGAAACCTGTATTTCATGCAGCCAATTTATCTACAATTGTCTACATCACATTTCCCTTCACTGCCCAGCATACAATGACTATAGACAAAAATTCCTTCAAAACTTCATCTCAGAATCTTCTGATAACCGCAACGTCGATTCCATACTGAATATCGATTGTATAGATAAGTTAAATAAAGTTAACTATTTTATGATGGGAGTTCACAAAGTGCATACACAAAATTGTTGATCATAGCCATGTTCTATTAGGCGCTTGTTTTTAGTTTATCTTAAGAGTAATATTTTGTTTATATTTATAAATATTTTTATTTTGAATTGTTTCTATCAAAGTAACTGGTTCATATAACCAATATTGTGCAGTAATCGTTTTATGTTTTTAATTTTTATTGCTATTCATGTTTTGTGAAAACCATTCTAAACGTTAAATATTGTAAATTTGATTTATATTTGAATTGTATGTAGGTAAATTTGTAAAACCATCTTACTGGACAATATCCAAGCTAGACTCTATTTGTATGGGAACCCCCTTAAAACAAATAAAATATCTATCTATCTGTCTATCTACATCCTTATGTAAATCATTATGAATAATATGTACTTTTACATAAAAGGTTACCGGGTATCTGATTGTTTTTTGGACAGAAATTGGAATAGGAGAGTTTTAAATGTATATAGGGAAAGGAATGCCGAATTTTGAGAGGAAGAGAATTCCAGAAATTAACAGAGCGAGCAGTAAAGGAGTTTTGGAATGAGGCAGATATGTGAGAAGGGATATAAAGATCGGAAGGTCGAGATCTTGTAAAAAGGACTGAGGACTGAGGACTTTAATTGGAGAAGGTTGTAGGCGTAAGAAGGGCGATGATTATTGATAATTTGATACAGGAATGTGGCTATGAAATATTGTCTTCGAATGGAGGAGAAGAGCTACTTACACTTAAATCTTACGCAGCTGTTCATTAGTTTTTTAAGTCTGCTTCGGAGTGGGGGTCGGGGTGGCCGAATAGGCTAAAGCGTGTGCACAGCACCGCTAGTTGCCTGGCAACCGGATAACAGAGATTTGAGATGATATAAAAAGTACGAGTTCGCGTCCCGGTGCCGGAGGGGATTTTAAATTCCCCGCCCTCACCCCCCGGCCCGGGAAAATCCCGTATAGTCTAAAAGGCGAGGTAGGGAAAAAAAAAAGTCTGCTTCGGAGCTCTGCCGAGAGTCCATCATACATTATACAGTTGTGGTGGGCTGGGTGGCCGAATGGGCTAACGCGCGTGCACAGCACCACCGTTGCCCGGCAACCTGATATATATCAAATAATACAAAAATAGTCACGAGTTCGCGTCCCGGTGCCGAGGCTTCTTTTAAATCCCCGCCCACACCATCTGGAATAGCGATGGAATAGTTTGAGGATAGAAATTATCCGTCGGGAGATGTGAGAAATGTGGTGATTCCAGGAGAAGATTTGATCAATGAAAACTCCTAAATTTTTAACAGAGGAGTAGAAGGAGATTGGCTGGACATTAAGGTTTAGTATGGGAAAGTCAATATAGGATCTAAGAAGAGGCTTGTAACCAATTACAACGGCCTGAGTTTTGGCAGCATTTAACCTTAATCCGTTTACATTTGCTCAGGCACTGATTCGATCTAGATCTTCTTGAATCTTGGCAAATGCTACCAACATCTCAAGGGAAGAAAAGGATAGGTATATTTGATAATCCTCTGCATAAAGGTGATGGGAACAATGAAGAATTGAATCATGTAGGTCGTTAATGTAGGAACTGAAAAGGAGATGAGATATGCTTGATCCCTGGGCAACACCGGATAATAAGGAAAATTGAGGTCGTGGTGGCCGAGTGTGTTGGAGCGTTGCCCGGCCTAGCATCCTCGTGCCTAGCGACGCCGGTTCTACTTTTATTTCGTGGCGGCCCTACGGAATGAAACTCGACCCTCCCATTCTGGTTAGAATAGGTTTGGTTGTACCTCTAGAACAACCCCCCGTATGCCAGAAATGATGGGTAGGGGGATAAAAAAAAAAAAAAAAGGATAATAAAGAAATATACAATATTTCATACATATGTTAGAATTTTGGTATCAACATTATTATGGTTTTAACATAAAACATAAACAGACAACATGTTTGAATATTCTCTATTGTGAATAGGTGTTTGACATTTTATTAGACTTCAATAATAAGAACAAAAAGAATTTAACCACTGTAATTATCACTGGAACAATGACCAAATGTTTTAATCTGGTTGCAACTTGTTTACAATCTGCTGTAAACAGAATCATTATTCTAATATCTAAATTCTTATGAATTATTGAAACATATAGTATAATTTATTTGTGAATCATTGTTTATTTATAACGAGCCAGTAAAATTTAAAGAAATGAAAACCTGATAAGAACATACCATCGGTTTATTGCAGTCATTAGGTGCACTTTTATTTTCATGCACTTATATTGCATTTTTTTCAATGAATAAAGTCGAAATTCACAAAAACATATTAAAAAAGGTAACCTACGCCAAAAATGCACTTATTGACTTTTTGCAATAAACCGACGATGTGAGCTTTTTAAAAATTATTTCCCTGTGTGCAACCCATTCCTGCAGTTTGATGAGTTTCCTCCCTGTATATATATTTTTTTCTTGTTTTTTTCCAGCATCATTCATCTCTTAATAATAGATGGAAAATTGATTTTTTTTTTCTTCGCTGGGCTTTATGACAATTTGATATAAATGAAGGAACTTGATAAAAATTTGCCATCAACTCTCTGAGAACCAGCGTACCGTAGGGACTGCATCATTGTTCTGGCCAAGTTGGAGGCGAACTTCATATTTAGTTTACTGTAATTATCAAGGCGTGAAGTTTCTAAGTATTGATTTGCTATACAGTGCCCCGCTACTCCGCAAGTTAAACATTTCACCACCCACCACTGAAGCAAAAACAGCTTACCTCTCTCTAGGTTCAGTACTTCGGTACATCCTCTGCTTTAACTATACAGTGTCGGTAAGATAAAAGTAATGTGACATATATGTTGTTAACCAACAGGTTTTAGGCGTTAGTATAAAATTAATTAATTAACGGAAAGTATAACTTATTGGAACATTATCCAATAGGAATTTTCCAAACCTACTCTTTATTGTAAACTAAGTTTCTTTGATGAATAAAATTAAATAAATAACGAGATTTACAAAAATCCTACTAAATATAAAATTCTGTTAAATATTATAAAATATTTATTTCATATTATAAAATTGTACATAATGATTTTAATAAAATCGGGGTAGTCTAAAAGATAATATAATATATTTATTGGAACACTTTTTTTTTCATAAGTCCCTCTTCGATTCCTAAATCTGAAACTGGAAACGAGTCATGAGGTATATTTTTATTTAGTTAAAAGGAACCTGTAAGGTAAACATAGCTTGAATCGCTTAAGAACCAGATCGAAAAATGCCACAATATTGTACAAATATGGTAGGGCATTGGAAAAGTAATAACTTAGAGATGAATACATGTTTGACTGTTAAAATCATAATGAAGACAAATAAACCTATGTCTTTTCATTAAGCACAATTAAGAGGTTCGCAAATCTAAAAAAATTAACTTATTAGTTTACCTAGACTATCGTAGCTAAGTGTATATTTGTTACTTTCTCGACAATGAAGGATATAATTTTAATTTTGATTAGAAAAAGTCAAAATCTCGACCATTTCTTTTGGCGTCTCAGCTAACCGTGATCATGAATGAGGAACATGATCCGTTAGTTTTAGTTTGTGCTGCAGACAAATCTGTTTTTTATTCAAAGAGAGGCAAAGTTTGTTTCATACGGGTCATAAAGGTCGCTTTTAAATAAAATAAAAAAACGGTAAAAACAAAAATCGCCTGCTTCAGATGTGAACTATGCAAACAGTTTATTTGTTAACATCATTCAAGAAATTTAATAGATCTCAATGATTGCATTGTATTATTTTAATTAATCTTATTTTTAAACGGTAATATAGCATTATCATAAAATATATTTTATATACATATAATTTTTTTTATATATAAACTTATATTTCTTAAGAGATATATTTTTTTTAATAGTCTGCGTATTAGTAAAAAAAAAATATTGAATACAGATTTATATATTTTTTAAAAATCTTGTCAGCTGATGTTAAAGAGTCATGTGTGATTTTAATATTCGATTTATTTATTTATTATCTTCAAGTACCTATATATGCACCTGACGACGAACTGTTGACAATTAACAGATGGTCTGATAAAAATAATGAAACTAACATATAAAGCATAGGGAACTATAGAACTCACCATTCCCTATTCCTTGCTTCAATATAGTTTTAAAAAGATATTATTTAAAATTAAAGATTAATATGGAAATTATATCCGAAAATAGTCGTGTGAATGGATAAAGTTAAAAGCATAATACGAAGAAAATCATTATTCCTTCTGTTAATTTTTCCTACTTTTGATGTCTTGAAGGTTTTTTATTTGTTACAATAAATTAGGCCATTTTTCACCTACATTTTATTATTACCCATCAATTTAACGTTTCAACCATACTAAGGGTCATTTACAAAACTGGACAATTATAATATCATTATTAGTTAATATTCAGCAATTATAAAATGAATTTCTTATTACATTTAATTGAATTGTCTAACATTCTATGTCAAATTATTTCCGATATACTTAAATTTATATAAAAATATACATAAAGTATACACTTTTTATTTAAAAAAACCCTTACATGTACGTAACTATAAACATTAAAACTCTAACAATTAAAAACAAATGATTATTACCTTGATGAGTCCTCCTAA